GAGGAGGGAAACTGCTGCGATGGTGGAAGGGACGGGAGGCGGGAACAGGCAGGAACAGAGGAGGAGGGAAACTGCTGCGATGGTGGAAGGGACGGGAGGCGGGAACAGGCAGGAACAGAGGAGAAGGGAAACTGCTGAGATGGTGGAAGGGACGGGAGGCGGGAACAGGCAGGAACGGAGGAGGAGGGAAAGTGCTGAGATCGGGGAAGGGACGGGAGGCGGGAATGGAGAAAGCCTGTGCGCTGGGGAGGGAAAGTGCTGAGATCGGGAAGGGACGTGCTGTGATTGCGGGTTATATGAGAAGGCGGGGTGTATAAAAACTTTTTTACATAAATCTTGAAAACCTGCGGGTTATTTGCGTGGGTGGGTTATTTGCGTGGGCGGGATATATGCATGAAAATACGGTATATAAAATTGTTACAGTAGGAGAGGTTCCATTAAAATATTTATTAGGGTTAGTTGCAGATAGCAGCAAATATTTTCTTATCTTTTTTTATTTAAGCTACAGAATAAAAAATGAATTAACGGGCTAGATTTAGATTGAGCCATACATCTTTAGCTATTATTTACAAAATTGAATTTATTAAAACTAACTTTCAATCTCTGTAATTGTGAAGTGATGTTCAAATCAGTATATTTGAAGATGAAATAGCCATTTTTAATCCAAAATGGGAGGTTGCTTTATTATTTTTTATGATTGTGTGGACAGAACAAGAAGAGAAAGACCGGGTTGAACGTGAAAAACGTGAACAAGAAATGCGTGAATATCAGGAACGTGTTAAAAAACTAGAAGAGGTAGAAAGAAAGAAACGTCAAAGGGAATTAGAAATTGAAGAGCGGGAGCGTCGTCGTGAAGAGGAGAGGCGGAATCTTGACGATCCACTTTCGCGGAAGGTAAATAATTCTAATGAACTGGATTTTTCTGGAGAGCATATATTTATATACTATATATTTCCAGTTCAAATATTCTGATTAGAAATCATTTTAAGATACAGCTTCTATGCCATTTAAACCTTAGCTTACAAATGTGTTGCTACAATATAAATTTTTGCAAGCATGATTCAAAATAATATCATTGTTTTGTTGTTGATTTAGACAAAGATGTTATTGAGTACATCGATACCTTGACTTTGTGTCAAGGTTCCAATTGACGATCCCAGGCAAATCAGAACTCCGAGACCACTTGCTACCTCAAATAACTTCTTTATTGGGTACATCATATTGGCATGCTTAGTGGAAAACAAACTCTGAAACGTTCCCACTATTTTAGCATAATTAAACCAGAAATAACCCCTTCCCCAAGTCACATTGGCCAATTAAGTTAATTGGTGGGCTTCTCAGGACTCTCCTCCTCCCCCCATTACCTGGGAGATGACCTTGGTTCTCACAAGAAACATCTATGTTGTGTCTAGCAAAGCATTCCGTCCTCCCAAAGTGTGACAACGATGAACTAGGAAAATGGCTTCTGCCAGGTTTAGTTTGGCCGTGACACTTCGCTTATCATAAATTGGGAAGATCACAAATGGCAATCATGTGACTGAGATACTGTCATAAATGTATGATGGTTGCCAAGCTCGGAGTTGTGATTACATGATCACAAAGGCACTGTGATTATTATTACGATCAGTTACAAGTTAATTTTTTCAGTGTGCTGTTGGCAATGTAATTACATAACAGTAATAACAAGGTAATACAATATCCCAGGTGTAAAAATTGGTAGATTTAGAACATTTTAAACATTGTTTATTTTACTGTAACAGAGTTGGAATTCCATGCTTCTTTTTCTCCGCCCCCAACCTTTCTTCATCTCACTTCCCTCTTTCTCTTCCTCCCTCACTGTTCGTCTAATTACTTTTGTGTTTTGTATTTCATAATATTCTATAACTTAATAAAAAATAAAATAAAAAAACACATTTTAAACATTGGAAAAAATAGTTTGGAGATTCAGATGGGTCTAAGCTAAATAAAAATAAAAAGATTGCCTTGAAAAGTTGAAAAATAATTTTTTAAAAGCAAGTCCTGAGTAAATGGGCTGATTTGGATTTTCAAGAAAATGTCTTCAATAGCATCACATGGAGCCCATTCACAAAATAGCTTCTGCTCCTGAAACCAAGCTAAATGTCAACGTTCCAAATATCATGCAGAATTAAATCAGAGTCCAAGGCAGAGCTATCCTTAAAGTTCCAATTTAATAAGACAGACATGTTGGCTGTGGAATCCCAAATCTGAAAAACTTCCTGGGATTCCACCCAGTTGAAAGTTCATGATCTTATCCCCACACTCATAAATCCATCACATGGTCCAATCTTCTTCGGCCATGCTGGCATCTGCACCCAGCTAGTTCTGGTCAGGTGCAGAGGTACAGAGACAAAAGATGACCTTGGCTTCTAGAAAGGAATGACAACAACACATTCCACAATTCTACTCCTTTCTATTCCCCCTTCCAATTACTACACTAATGAAACAGCATAGGAAAATAATAGAGAGTGTGGCAGGCAAAAATCCCAAAAGGAAATTAACTGCAGGCCTGACACTATTTTTTTTAACAAAAAATCATTTTTTATAATACATTTATCATTTCTTCCTTGTTCTTTTTAATTTTCTATCTGAATCTTTGTTTCATTTGAAATGCCTTATTACAGAAATGATGGTTTCTCTTATTTCTACATTTTGTACCATTTCAGAAATAAATTTCAAATATCATACATATTACTGAGAGATGAATGTACTCTGCCATGGGGAGCTACTATTCTCGGTTCCCCCTTCCCATTTCTCTTATTAAGTAGTAACTAATAATCCCACATTAAGTGAACCACCATTATCCATGTTGAATATGCATGTTTATCCAATGGTCTTTCAAGAAAACTGGAGCAATATAGACCGACTAAATAACCAGTTTAGCTCTCTGAAATGAGTTACTGGTTGTTCTTTGGAGTCTTCTAATTAGGAAAGAAAAAAAAAGATTTCTTCATCCCTCAGGATGAAGTCCTTGATAAAAAATTGTCTACTCCCGGCCATAGCGTGTTCTTTAAACGTGCAAACTAGTTAGAAGCAGATTGTGTTTCTGGAATCATTGATAAGACTCTGCATTTTAAAAAATTGTGATAATTGAAATTAAAATATGAAATATTCCTAATCATGTTGGTACTAACCTAAGGTTGCTTTTTATTGTGTTTAATTGTAGGAATCACGTTGGGGTGATAGAGAAAGTGATAATACTTGGAGAAGAACTACTGATCAGGAATCAGAATGGAGACGTCCCCCAGAAAGGTAGCTTATAGAATAATACTTAAGCAAACTGTAATAGGTCGTTTTCTTTTCTTATTCTGATAACCTGCGCAAGAGTGTACATTGTCATCCAAAGAACATTGACTGGATATGGAATAATTTTAGTGGCCATTAATACCATGTTACCAGGATTCATTAGATATTCCAGAACATTCTTGCAAACCTTAATAATTGTAATGAAGGTATTCTCTTTCTGTATAGCTAATAAGACCATGGAACTATTAATATATTCAATAACCAACTGAGTTTTGTGTATAACCATTTCAAACAAATTGGAATATCTGACAAAGGCTTGTCCTATCCTTCTAGGTTGGAATCATTTTGCTAAATGTATGGCTATATTGGCATCCCTTCCTCCATAGTTATTGTCTGCCCTTTTATATTTATATAGATTTTGCATTATACATATTTCAGAGATGAGTGCTCAAAATTACAGCTTGTTCCAACAAATATCCTCCCCCTTTTCTACACCTTCAGATCTATAGGCCAAAGATGTCAAACATGATCACATGATGTATTTTGCCTTTGTGGAGCCGGGGTGAGCATGACCTGCGCTTGATGCATCCGGCCCGCATCCGGCCCGCGGGCCACCAGTTTGACAGGCCTGCCTTCTAATATTAATGATTTCAATTTTTGTAGTTCATTTTTGCATTCATTCATTCATTCAAAATATTCATATAGCCACCCATTTAGTGGTTGGTATGAATTCTGTGTTAGCCAGAAGTTTTAGATACTAAAATGTTTGCTTCTAAGTGTTAAAAGAGTTTTCAAAGTAGAATGAAACCAATGCAAAATGATGTCATTACTTTGAATCTGAGACAAATAAAATTACTAGTACTGTAGTTCAGTGCAAATCCAGTAAACAATTACAAATCAATGTGCATAATAGAATATGTTTCTGTATATGAATATTCTGGAATATTTTATTTAGAGTGCTCTGGCTGATTCCCTTTTCTTTTGTTAACTAATTTATACACACCTTAAAACTGAGTTGCTAATTGTCAGATACGATATTTCATTCACGCTACTCATGTAGTGTGTAAGATCATGTTGTATAGATAGTCCTGACAATTAGAACTATTAATTTGACTTGTCTCCAGAAGTTGTGGGTGCTCCAGCACTGAAGGTTTTTAAGAAGAGATTGGACAACCATTTGTCTGAAATAGTGTAGGGCCCGGATGGCGAACCTATGGCACAAATGCCAAAGGTGGCACACAGAGCCATTTGTCACACATGCCTGCGCCGGCCATCTGAGTTCAGCCTTTTTTAAAGCCATTTTTTGCCCTCCCCAGGCTCCAGAGGCTTTATAGGAGCCTGGGAAGAGTGAAAAGATCCTCCCCTGCCCCCCCCCCCCACGCCCTCCAGAGGCTTCAGGAACTTCCCTGAAGCCCCCAGAGCGCAAAAAAACGGCCCTATGGGCAAACTGGAAGTTCGGGAACGGTTCCTAAAAGTCCCTGAAGTCTCTGAGAGCCTCTGGGGGGGGGTAGGGGGGCTGTTTTTGCCCTCCCCAGGGTCCTATAAAGCCTCTGGAGCCTGGGGAGGGCGAAAAAAGCATCAAAAAATGGTGGAGGAGTACCTCTAATGCCCGCATGTGCACTGGGGGGGGGGTGTTGCACGCCCATGCACGACCCCTCGCCATCGCTGGTATAGGGCTTCCTGCTTTGAACGGGATTAGACCTCCAAGGTCCCTTCCAACTCTGTTTTTCTATTATTCCTTTATTTATGACCAAAATTGGGCTAGAATTTTGCTTGTAAGTTAGGGCTGTTGTTAAACAGGTCATCTCATTTTACAGCCATTTTTACAATGATTATAAAGAGAGTTACCGTAGTTGTTAAGTGAACCATGAGGTTGTTAAATGAATCTAGAATATTCAATGTGTGGTTTTTGCAGTTTTCTGCCAGAAAACGGCAGAAAAGTAGTAAATCATGGTCATTGACTGGGATTCTGCAACCAGCCGTAAATGCCAGCCAGTTGCCAAGCTCCCTAAATGTGGTTACATGGCTGCAGGTGGTGGTGACGTGTTTTCAATGGTCAGAAGTGCTTTATAGGCTGTAAAGGACACTTTCTGAGATTTTTTTCATAACTTCAATCAGTTGTTAAGGTATTGGTCATTAAATGGAGATGACCTATATATTTTTCTTATGCAGAAAGCACTTTTATTTAAAAAAATATGTTTAACCTGAATATGACTCATGGTACCTAATTGAGAAGTTCCGGTAAACTGAAGATAATAGTTTTGTTAATTCCACTTCATGATATTGATATTGAACAAATAACTTGTTTCTATTGGAAAACTAGCAAAACATGTGAACCATAACTTTTGTTGTCTCAGAAATTTACTAGTATGATTTCTAGAATACATTTTGTTATTTATACTCATCCATGGAAATTTGTGACTTCCTAATGTATGAATGCATGTATTAACATAGAGTAGCTCACAAAATTTTTGAGATGAGAAATCATGTGTAATTTATAGTTATGTAGCTGTAATTTGCAAGAGTAACCCAATTATTGGGTTTTGGACATCTGAAAATAAAATTCTGGCTTTGTTTTATTAGAGAGTGGCGGCGTGGGGATGTACGTGATGATGAAAAACCTTCACAAAAAGACGATGTGACTAAGTCTACTACTCCACAAGAAGAGGAAGAGCCTACCCAGGAAGCACCAGAAGATAAAATACTGAAACAGGATAAAGAGGAAGACAAGGATCCTAGGAAAGTCCTGGATGATGACCGAACAGGTTGGCGTTCAACTGGTGATGACAGGGCCCCAAGATATGGCTTGGAGGATGACAGGACCCCCCGGCGTAGCTTGGAGGATGACAGGCCCCCCCGGCGTGGCTTGGACGATGACAGGCCCCCCCGGCGTGGCTTGGACGATGACAGG